TCCTTACTATGGTTATTTCATACTTCAGTTGCATGAGAGCTGCGCCCCTGAGAGACGCCCCGGGCATGCGGGGCCATCGGACGGAAGGCTACTTGGGCGCTGCTGCGACGGCCGCAAGAGGCCATGGGACTCCACAGAGTGGTGGTGGACCAGGCCAGCGTGGGGAACTGCCCTCGCTCACAGACACGTTTGAGCAAGTGATAGAGGAGCTGCTGGAGGTGGAGGGAGAGGCGGCACAGCTGGGACAGGGGGCTGATAAGAGCCAGGGAGGTGGGGGCCCATCCTCTGTGGTCAACGCAGAGAGCAAGGATGTCGACCTGTACGACTCACGGGTGATGATCAGCAACCAAGTGCCTTTGGAGCCGCCCTTGCTCTTTCTCCTGGAGGAATACAAAAACTATCTGGATGCAGCTAACATGTCCATGAGGGTGCGGCGACACTCCGATCCCTCACGGCGTGGAGAGCTCAGTGTGTGTGACAGTATTAGCCAGTGGGTGACAGCTGTGGATAAAAAGACGGCAATAGACATGTCTGGGCAGACAGTTACCGTCATGGAAAAGGTCCCTGTCCCCAATGGCCAACTGAAGCAATACTTTTATGAGACCAAATGCAACCCCATGGGGTACACAAAGGAGGGCTGCAGAGGAATAGACAAGCGGCATTATAATTCCCAATGCAGGACAACCCAGTCCTACGTGCGAGCGCTTACCATGGATAGCAAAAAGAAGATTGGCTGGCGGTTTATAAGGATAGACACTTCATGTGTATGCACATTGACCATTAAAAGAGGGAGATAGTGTATAAAATGTATAGATTTTATTGAAGAGTTTAAAAAAGAGAATAAAGAGAAAATATCTATTTGTATATATACATAACAGGGTAAATTATTCCGTCAAATGAAAATTTTATGGACTGCATGTAAAAAAAGATGAAGTTTATACAGTAAAAGTGATACTACAGTCTATTTATTGAACATATTCATGACCTTGTAAACAATTAAAAAAAATCTGATCAGTCATTTGCGCCCAGTTTAAATTACTATATCACATTCCTCAAGACATTGTGATTTGTTTACGTTGCCAAGAATTAGAAAAAAATGAAGGAAAAAAAAACAGGCAAGGAATGAGAGAGGACGGTTCCATCTTCAAAAGCTTGCATGCTGCTTCAATTGTGAATCGAGAAATTCTCCACTAACAAAAAAAAAGGATATGATGCTGACCAAAAAAAACATTCCGTTTACATATTCAGCAGAAAACAACTTTCCTCTCAAGTAATTTATCTGTTTACTGTTCTAAACTTCTCAAGGTAATGTTGAAATTACATACTATGTCAAGGTGCTGTTGTCAAAGCTTTGCTGTTTATTTTTTTATCCCCACCAGAGGACAAGATATATATATATATAAAAAAATTATATGTATATATATATATATATATGTATATATGTATATATATATATATATATATATATTTATATATAAAATTTATTCATTGACATGTTTCTGGGTTAATATTATTCATTTTGTATGTTGTGAAGTTGTTTGCAATATTAAACTGAAATATTTGAAGAAATAAAAATGACTATAGGCAACTGAAAAACAAAATCAATGTCGATAAAGTTTCAACAGTGCATTTTAGGTAGGATAAACTTTATTATACAGACAGGCAGGCAGGGACGAGGAGGCCTGGCACACACACACACAAACACACACACACACACACACGAATGTGCACAAACTCTGCTCCATTAAAAAGAATGGATTGTTTCACATTTTTGTCACGGTAAAGGAAATAATATATTATAGCAAAGGACTGAGTGTATTGGGTAATACACAGGGAAAGCAATACAGGCGGCAGTATATTTAGGAGCTTCTAACGTTGTGTTAAGGAGGAAAAAAGTAGTACATGCTATCAAACCACCTCCTGCTCCCACCAGCACATCGCTTGACGACAGACTTTCGTAGTTTGATTCTTAGGTATTTACACTCAGGTGTTCAGAGCTTTATTGATCTATGATTAATATCATGACTCCAGCTGCAATACAAGAATTTACAGTCACAAGAAAAAGCACCTACACCTACAAGCATGGACACGTACAAGTAAGCTAAGGGTGAGTTTTGACAGTGATGGACTCCCCCACCCACATGTTTGTGTGCATTAAAAACATTTGCACCCACCTTTTCTGTTATTAGTGCACGATAATCTCATCTTTAAATCTCTTGCAAAAGAACTATCATCACAGGGTTTTTACGCGGCGGAACATTCGCTGTGGTCCCGAGGAGAAGCCATTCCAGGTAACTGGTTTGGTGTCGGGATTATAAAAGACTGACGCGGCCTCATATCAATACTCCCTCCAGCACACTATAACTTATTGCATTACATCATTACATAGACAGAGCCCGGTGCTTGCCAAGTCTACATGCCACAGATGGAGGTTGCATCAAGATAACAATAAAATCTGCTTGACTCCACTTCCACACATACTCAAAATATCACATATTTCCGCGGTGATATATAAAAAAGCAGAAACAAAACCTTCAGTTACTGCTGTGTTTTTGTTTCGTCTGATCCAACCACCTCATTTTACTTCTCCTTCATCAACCTGAAGGTAAGTGTGACCTCTACTGAGAACCAGATCTGGCCCTTTGGGAGATTTGGGGGAAACAGATTGCTGAATAGAGGAATCTTTTTTTGTGAGTGGAGAAAAAGATGCTCCACTTTCTCCTCTGGTTTGTCTGGATCCTCCTGAGAAGCCTGAGACGAAGATGCTGTGAGTTACTTTTATTATACAAAAGTGGAGGATAAACACGGAGTTGGAGGAAGATGGCGAGCACGCAGTATCTCAGATAACCCACTCTCATAAATCTCCAAACAAAGGATACTTAGGTTTCTCATCATGGCCGCACAAGCCAAATAAGAAAGAAGATTACCCTAAGTCATTTTATTATCCTATGGGAAGAGAAGCAGCCGTAATTCCTTCCTCCTCAGAATACAGAACAATAAATCAAACCTTCTGGGACGCATTTTAGACGAGGCTCTCTGAGCTGTCCCATTTATCATGAGCAGACATATTGGGGTGTTTTTGTTGAACAAAGCTTAAGTAATAGAAAACTTTATCCTCCAATTACTTAAGTGAGGAACAAAGTGACTGGTGAAATCACCAGTTGTGTTTGAGCCAGGGTGAAGTCTATGTTTACAGGCCAGACCATATTGTCTCTTATAATCATAAATCATGCATGTGAATAGGTCTTCAAGTATCATTCAGTAATTCCTTATGCCTACGACTGAAACTTGGAGACAAAAACAGGAAGAGAGAAAATAAAAACTTGAGCAAACAAGCATTGGGCCATTAGAGCAAATATGGCTGCTGCTTCCAGCCACACCCCAGTCAGTGATGTCATAGCAGGTATATTTTCATCAGCTGTCAAACGGCTCCAGAGAGTCATCACCAACTGGGTGTGGTCAGAACATAGTGATTCTATATAGTTTGAATGTTTCAGGCTACAGAGAGCAGTACAGCAGGAGATTTCTACAAGCTCCAGATGTCTAGCAGCCAACCAGTAGAGAGCAGTAGAGAGATTGAACGTCCCAGGTGACAGACAGAGACGCTTCTTACAGCTTCCTGGTCACCAATACCCATAATACATAATGGAACAAGTCCTTAAAGTATGAACATCCATGAGGAGGATGAGAGCAGCTGCTGAATGAATGATCTGCTAACACACATAATATAGTTGGGTCACACACCCGATGACATGTTTTCCCTGGATGCTGCTCAATGAGAACAGTGTGTGAACTGAACACAAGACACAAGGATGAGCACTCCACATTCTGCAGGTTCAATGTCTTCAGTAAACAGAATTTACACCACACGCTACCTTAAATTAAAGTTAAACTCAAATCACAGAAATATCAAAGTTCAGAAATGTTATTATTATATTATGTTTTATATATATATATACAGTATCAGTATAGTATACAGTCTGTACTATATATCATCAAGAATAGAAATACATTTTATTTGTCGACTACATGAGGCCATGGATAGATGTGGCAGTCCCAGCAGACAGTAACAAAAAAAGATCATGAGAAGATGGAGAAATACCAAGGGCTGAAAAACAGCTAGAACAGATGTGGAGAGTAAAATACAATCTGATCCCTGTGGTAGTAGGAGCATTAGGGGCTGTCACTCCCAAACTAGGAGAGAGGCTCCAGCAGATCCCAGGTACAACATATAAAGCTCAGGCCTAGGAACTGAAAGAATATTGTGCAGAGCCCTCAAACTCCCAGGCACCTGGTGAAGGACCAGCTTGAAAAAGACATACTGACCCCATGTCCCATGTATGTGGGGAATGAGGGGGATTTATGTCATCAAGAATAGAAATAACTTTGATTTGTCAATTACACGAGGCCATATGGGTGAATCTCTCAAATAGGGAACTGTAGTATATATTACAGGTTCAGTTTGTAGAATTAAGTGATTTCTAAAGGTGACATGTTGCAGCTGAACACCCCTCACCTCACCCTCCCCTTCCAAACACGAGAGAGAACCTGTGGCAGCCTTCAGTTGTCATAGAAACTCAAAAGATGTTAAGTTTGTTCAGTTTGGACAACTGTAAAAAAACATGGCAGCCTTCGTAGAGAAGACCCGCTCCTGATGTAAATATAAGGTATTTAAATACCAAAGACCCATTCAAGGGTAAAGAAATGATAAAGATGATTTTGCAGTGAAAACATCACACTGATTATTTTATCGTCAATTTCTGCCAGAAGTCCCTTTCACCTAAATCTTACACACTGAACCTTTAAATTGTGATTTAAACACACATTCGTGTGATAGGTCTGCAGGATAAATACATATCTTATCTTTATGATTTATTTGTGAAAATATTTATAAACCAATAATTTAAAACACTGACTCACAGTAATTACAAAAGATGCATTCAGTGTCCTCTCGTGAACACCCAGTTCCTGCCATAAACAGACTGAGCTCGGTGGTTTTCATCCAGCTTTTCGAGGGTCGGTGAACGCACCATGACACTGGCAGCTAGCCTAGCCGGCTAACTTTGCTAATCTGATTTATCGCCCGAGTTAAGCACGCATAACGCTAGCCAGGATTACCAAATTTAGTTTCCCAACATCTAGCGTTTAACGCAACGTCTACCTGACACCAAACAGCCTCACATCATCAGGATGGCATCGCTCGGGGAGCCTGTGCGGCTGGAAAGAGGTAAAGTTAATGCGCTAGCTAGCGTTAGCTTAGAAATATTTGTTGTGATAGCAGGGAGGCGTTAGCCTAGCTTAGCTACCATTAGCTCAATGCAGCTGATTGTTGTTCTTTCGGGCTGTACACTCTATTATTCAACCACGTGTTACTGCACTAACGTTGTGTTACTGATAACCGACGTTAACGTCTTTGGTGAATTGTGTCTATTTCTGGGCACCGAGCGATAATACCGTGTGTTTTTTGCTGTTGTATCGCTTCACTTCGCGCAGCAGCTAACTGGCTAATGTGAGTGAGAACAGGGAGTGAACCGAGCTGGTGTGTTAAAGGTTTGAATGAATGTCAGCAGCGAACACAGTGAGCTTCATACACTGAGTTCACCGCCTCCACCATCGTTAGCATCAGTGATGAGCAGGAGCAATTCAGAGCATTGTTTAATCAACCTGAGTCGTTCTCATAACGTAACACTGACATTAGCATCTGCTAACACAGCCCAGAAACCCCAGATTCATACAAACCTACTGGATCTACTGACATTTTGAAGAAGGGTGGTGTCATTAGCAACTCGCAGACAAAAGGCACAATTTAGGTGAGACAAAAATAAAATAGAGATTGAAATATAGACAGAAATTTAGAGGAAAATGACTTTAATGGAGTTAATGAATTGCTGACATGAAATATGAAACGTGATATTTTGTGGGTTGCCCCCTTTCGTCATGTAGTTTCATAATAATTAGGGCTGGGAAATAAAGTAAAATCAAATATTATTGCAATATATATTTTATTAATGTATAACACAGGTTAATTGTATAGTGATACAATGTGTATTGTGTAAGCACCTTGAGGAGGAATAACACATAATGGATCTCAGTCAGAGTTATAAAGGTTTTGCAGTTTATCAAGTGTTTGTCATTCTCTGCTCTTTGAGGAGAGTTTAAACCACGACCTTCACTAGAACAAATAATAATGTGATAATCGTCCCTATTAACTGTTGAGAAATATTTATTTTGATATCATTTTTGGCCATGTGACCCAACCATAACAACAATGTTTATCCAAGTCAAGACACCTCTCTCCACAGGGACAAAGCCTTTTTAACCAGAGCATGTGATTTGAAAGAAAAGATACATTTAGTCTCAAACTAATTAAAAACCTGTTAATTGACAACAAGTTTATTCCAGTTTTGATTTAATATAGAGTGTCCAGGGTTGTTTGTGTCTAGTGTTAAATGTCTCTATTTTCAGATTAATGAAAACCTTGATGGTGGTATTTATGTTCTCGTTGACAGATATCAACCGTGCTATTGAACTGCTTGATAAGCTCCAGAGGACGGGTGAAGTGCCCCCCCAGAAGCTGCAGGCGCTGCAGAGGGTCTTACAGAGTGAATTCTGTAACGCTGTCAGAGAAGTGAGACTTGGTCTTTGCTGTTCTTGCAACACTTACCTCATGTCTTCTCTTATGATGTTAAACTTTTAAAAGGTAGATTTCTATGTGATTGCTTTGCAATGTGGTGATGATATATTGTCCCAACAATGTCTCTTCAGGTTTATGAGCATGTGTATGAAACGGTGGACATCAACAGCAGTCCCGAGGTCAGGGCCAACGCAACAGCTAAGGTAAACCCTCGTCATCCAAGTTGCCACCTCGCAAACAAACATTTGACTTAGTTTTTAACATCACTCTCGTTGAACTTATCAAATTCACAAAGGTTTAACATCGCTGCTTGTTCATTTGTAGGCAACTGTAGCAGCTTTTGCGGCAAGTGAGGGTCACTCACATCCCCGTGTGGTGGAACTGCCGAAGACAGAAGAAGGTCTTGGTTTCAACATCATGGGTGGAAAGGAGCAAAATTCACCTATTTACATCTCACGGATCATCCCAGGAGGCATCGCTGATCGTCATGGCGGCCTGAAGAGAGGCGACCAGCTTCTCTCTGTTAATGGGGTGGTACGTTGAATTCACAGAATCACTACATACAAAGCATGGCATGCATTTCCTTTTCAGTTTGTGTACAGCTCATTAGGATTTCACTGATCCAGTTCACTTGATCTGTACCCAGTACCTATAAAATACTGAGCCAATACTGTTGCTTCCTACATATTCAGTGGATCTGAAGATAAACATTTTCCCATGATTATTAACCGATATAAGAATCTTGTATGTCTGTGACACGGTCTTACAGCATATATGGTTTTTTTTCGCAGAGTGTTGAAGGCGAGCACCATGAGAAAGCTGTGGAACTCCTCAAAGCAGCTCAGGGCACAGTGAAGCTGGTAGTAAGGTACACCCCCAAAGTCCTCGAGGAAATGGAGTCCCGCTTTGAGAAAATGAGGTCGGCGAAGCGCCGGCAACAGAACAACTATCCCCAGTAGGATTTTCCCATGTTGATGTCCAGCTCCCATGTCTCTCCTCCTCCTCTAGCCTTCTAGCCATCTGTTCTGGTCTCTTTCTTATCTCCCGACCCCAAAAACACAACATACATAAGTTTTAGTTGCCTCTCACTCATTCCCTTCATTGTGCTTCTACCCTTCTCTGTAGCATTTTTATTATTCACCACTGTTACTGTAATAGACACTACGACTCTAGACGAACACTAGAATAATCACGATTGTCAGTGTAGGTGGTCTCTCACACGTGTGCATTATTTTGAAAGTGACAATTTGAATGCAAGTATGAGTACTTCTGTGACCATCTACAGAGCTTCTTTGACTGGAAAGGTAGTGTTTTTAATTCTTTTATCAGCCACTACCAAGTGCCTCAGGGCAAACATGTTCATCCTATGTACTGTGTTCACTGTTCATTTTTTCTCTCAAATGGTTTAAAGTCGAGTACTGGTAATTAAATGTTTGTGGCAGGAATCACTACATGCTTTGCAAATGTTATTTTCAAAGATTGTTTAATTTGAGTATAAATACATTTTCATTTTAACGGCCACTCTACACGCAAGTCCAGAATAGCTGGAGGAGTTGGTGTCAGTTTGAATTTGTTAAAAATTATTTTTGGTAATAAGGGAAACCACTGAAAGGACACATAAAATCAAATGTGATGGATGATATTGAAGGTTTTTTTCTGGGTTTGATGTCAAACTTTTCTTTCTGTTAAACCACACGGTTAACAAGTGATATAAAAGGATCTCAGCAATTCATGAACTAAATTCCTGCCATTACACAGACTCACAGTTTTACTTTGATCTAAGTAATAAACCGTCACAAGCATAATCTCTGCAGTCAGCATGACACAAGATGAAACCTGTTCAGCTTCTGATTCCTTTTTCTTGACGTAAATCAGCATTTTATAAGTTGTGTTTGTCTTTAGTCAGGTACAGAACATTTACATAACATTTATCTGTGATCTTTGTTAAAATCTGCTTGTTAGTGTTGTTTGCATCATTTAGTGACACTTCAGAGCAAAGTAAGACATTCATGATATCAAGCATTGTTTGTCACAGTAATGTGAGTCATTGTTCTCAAGAGTGAAAGGGCAGATGCTGATATCACACACATTGTTCATGGCCATTCATCAAGACTTTATACAGTTTTTAGGGCATTATGTTGCGCATCTGTTGTTTTTTACTATTTATTTCTCCACTTCTGACTCGAAACAAAAAGTGTGTCTTAAATGAAGCTTTCGTTACTTTTGGATTTTTATATATTGATTTCATTAAGATCTTTAAGTGGTTTAACATGTCCACAACACCAGGACTGGAATAAGGATCAATCAACAGTGCAACTATAGATTTTAATCATTTACTTAAGCAATGTGTTGAAACCTATCTGGGTCTGACAATTAATGTTTTGCTATATAGTACCAAGACATCTCTGTCATTTCTTTTCATTACTATATTTAATTATTCAATATATATTAACAAAAGTATTTATTTGAAGACTTTTCTTGCTATTCCAGCAAAGGGAACATTAGTGTAGTGATTGTCTGGATGAACCCTCCTCATTCACTCTTTCAGTGTGACAACAAACTTTCACTCAGAGACTTATCCACACAAAGTGTTTTGTTTCCATGCTAGATGCAATATCCTGTATAAAGCATATATGTAGTTTACATCATCCCACAAAATAGGCTATAGTTGTGCAAGCCATAGGATTTTCAAATCCCATAGTTGAGACAGGAAGGTGGTAGCGATGAGATAGTTATTTATTGAATGGAAGGAGGATAAAGGAACATAACCGTGTATGAAAGCAGGACCGCTTTTAGCTTCGCTGTAGCTTCTGTGTTTCTTTGAATGGTGTCATTAAGGTCCTGCACTGTTTGTCCTCTGGTGTTGAACCGTTCTTCAGAAATGATTTGTTTTATGCCGTGTACTGTTAAATCCAGTTTGTCACTTTGCAAGTGTTTTGGCATCAGTTGTCAAGACTTGACATGATGACGATAAACAGCCGCACACTTATTGTGACCGAGGCGTCTGAAATTAGGTCACTGACAGTTTCCATTCGCTTGTGTGATGAAGTAATTTCAAAGCTTTTCTCACTTTTTTCAATCATTTATTTTTTCCGCCATCTGCTAACATACATTTAGGATCAACTAACTGTTAAATTGTTTTTAGTCAATTCCTTCAGCAAACTGTAAATAGCTTACTAAAAGGTCTTAAAGTCCATAGGTAGATTTTAGCATGAAATTATTTATATTGTTTTAACCAGAATATGAGTGTGTGTTTCAGGGATCTGGAAAATGTTCTTTAAAGGGTTGCATCACTAAATGTTTAAAAAAACAAAAAAAACAACTGTCAGTGCAAGATTAGGGAAATATCGGTTGTTGTTTTTCTACAATAAAGTGAGTATAATTCGGTGATGATGTGATATTTTTTCCTTAATAATTGGAACTGAAAGTAAAATTCAAAGAAAACAAGTTGCTGATTTAAATTTGTTGCAGCCTCTACATTTGTCCATTATTAGTTCAATTCAGAATAGACTTCAGTTGAAAATGATTACAATTCACAATAACAGGAGGAAGTGGTGTGATAGAAATGAATCAATTTGGTTCTCAGACCCCTGATGGTCAAGGTTGAAAGCGGGTGAGGGCGTGTGTAGTGTGGGAGACTCCTCCTCGGGATGTAGACGCTAATGGTGCTTGATAGGACAGAGGATGTGGAGGAGGGTCACAGCAAATAATAGAAATTACTCCTAAAACAGAACAGGTTTAAAGTTTTAAAGCATCGACGTGATTGGCTGATGGGATTACTGTAAACACCTAACAATCAGAAGAGGCAGGGAGAGAGAGAGAGAGAATTGTGAATGAAAGTCTCCCTGAGAGAACATGCGCTAAACGTCCTATGTCAGTCTGTTGTTCCTTTAACTGTCAGGTTATCTGCAGGACTGTTCACAGTTGAAAGTGTTGGTAACTTAAATCAAATTGTGTGTCTCTTTAAATCCTTTACTTCAGATAAAAAATCCTTAATTTCGGGGACAACGTCTAAAACAAAACACATACACACACAGAGTACTGCAAATCCACTATCTATGCAAGGTCATTTCAAAACTTGTATTGGAGCAAATTAGTTTTACTGCAGAACGTTTTTGACATATATGACTTAAAGGCCGAGTGGACAAATGTAGTGTGTAGGGAGCCGCTGCACTCAAAACTTTGGATTTACATGATGAGATGTTTGGTTTGTTGTAACAATCTAACATTGATCACCATCAAGTGAAAGTTCCCATGTGATATTAGCCTTTCTACCTAATTAACGATTGTCCGGATGTATGTAGGAGAATATATGACAGTGTGGTTTTTAGTTTGACCATTCCATAGGTTTCTCGTTATGAGGCAGAACATTTAGCAGGAGAGCAGGGTGTACGGATATGTTGAAATGTCTTAATATAATGTATCTTTTGTCCCTTATAATTGTGTTTTATCCAGCTTTAGATATGTAATGAAACTGCTCTCACACATGACAAGTAAATCAGGATGAAAAACGTAATGAGACTTGGTTATTGATCTTGCACAGTCTCCATCTCCACTGAATGTCGCTGACCATCGTCTGTTAGTTGCAGAACCTTTGTGAAGTCAACTTTCTACCACTCCTCCTTGTCTATATTGGAATGGTCAATAAAGTATTTTTTATAATAGTTTTCTTTTGATATTTTTCTCAATTTTTATAAGTGGTTTTCCTAAAAAATAAATACCAGGAATAATTGGTACTTCCATTTTGACTTGTGTACCAGGACATGTTTCAGCGAAGTCTCTCTGAAATGCGGCGCGGATGTGGAATAGATCTTGCGGCGGTATGAACGAACAAAACCGTCCTCGGTCAGCGCTTCTATTCTGAGACCTGAACTGATTTGTCTTTTCTCTTTAGTACCAAGACCAAACTTGCGACGTTTGTGAACATTTTTGATAATGTTTTAAAAATGTTTTAGTCAGTGCTCGTTTAGGATTATTACCAGTAGACTGTTGTTTTACGTTGTGTTACCTAATTTACTGTGCTAACGTTGGTGTGGAATGTAAACTGTTGTGATGTAGAACGTAACAATAATTTGACTGGAGGCTGAATAAACCGTGCTTCAATGTGTGAATTATGATGGGTTTTCTTTAATGTCTTTCACGCACACAACACTTATTTCAGTTGTAGGCTCAAAAGCAGGGAAGGAGTTTTGAGAGGACGCGTCTGACCCCATCCCTTCATGATCAAAACAAGATGTTCATAGGCACGTCTCTTATGATTTTGAAGACTTACAGTAAGCGAGCGCCACAACAGTCTTCACACTTCACAGTAATTTTCATGCCTGGCACATACGGAAAATGTTTTATGGACACTGAGCGCATGCACACAACGCCCAGTACGAGCTCCTTTTGAAGTCAAGAGAAACATGTTTGCTGTCCAACACTGTTGAAAGAATGAACCTACTGTGAACTTTCCTGCTAAGCTATTGAAACGGTTGTTATTTTCTGACTCATCTGTAACACTTGTGTATGTGTGTTTGTAGCAGGTTCACCAATAAATGTTTTTCCTTCCTCCTCAGTGTTCTGCGTCACTGCTCCATCACGTTCATGTCAAAAGAAAGCAACTTGGCTCTTACAGCACGAGTTCAAGTATGTTTCATGAACCACAACAGTTTCTTGGTTGAAACCATGTGTCTGTGAGTCAATAGAGACATTCAAGGGACAAAAGGACATGAAATGAAAATGAAATGGCAATAAAGTCCTGTGGTTTCCTACTTTATCTGTCATGCTCCTGTTTGGACGCCAAAAAAAAGACCTCATTCTCTTTTATTGCAAATCAACATTTAAGCAACACTTTGCCCAGACTGCTGCAGCTTTTACAACCAGAAGAACAAAGCTTTTTGATGTTTCTTCACCATGAGCTCCAGAACAAGATTCATACTTTTATTGGGGCAGCTGTAGCCCAGGAGCAGGCCGTCAACTAACCAGAGGGTCAGAGGTTCGATCCCTGGCTCCTCCAGTCTGCATGTTTTTGTCTGTGTTTGTCAGTTATCAGGATTAAGCAAAAACTACTTAACTGTTTACTGTGAAATTTGCTGGGGTAAAACCCAAAGAAGAATATATTACATTTTGGAGCAGATCTAGGATTTCTTCTTATATAATGTGAGATTTGTTTGTTTTTTAATTTTCCCAGTAAATAATACATGGATCAGGCATGGAAAAAAATGTGACATGTTTAGGAATCAGATTTTTGTGGTGCAGCTTGATCGAAGTTAAGGGGACTGTCAGGCCTTGGTGGAGGTATGTGCTCTAGTGAGTGCTTTTTAGTTTATTTAATGTTGTTCCCGAAGTAATCCAATTCATTCATAGCTTTTTACAGCAGACATTATAACTTACAAAACCAGGAATGTATAGGTGTCATATCAATGATAGCTCCCATTGCACTGCCTAATTTATGATACTTTTTACATGGTTTAATAATTTTAAAGGTGAGATTTCAACGAGATAATATCTGGATATAGTTATATTTAAAAGTTAGCTTTCCCCACATGCACCCATTCACACTAGATATCTGAGAGGAGCTCTGTAACAGCAGATTCAGTGGTAGATCAGGGCCGGTTGCCTGGAACCAAACAGTGCACGTGACAGCCATTCATTAGAGCTGATTGTTCACATTACAGCTGGAGACCAGAGCGCAGATGCTGGTATCTCATGGTGTGGGCCCCCGATCCATTGCAGAAGCTCACGTGTGGATGCTTCACTTCGTCCTTTCTGGCAACTAAAATCAATCAAACCCAGGAGCAAACACAGCGGCAGCAGCAGAGAGAGAGGACGAGGCAGGAGGCCGAACTGGATCAGGAGCCAAGACAGCAGCAGGAGCAGAGCAGGAAGAAGCTGATATAGAGTAAAACACCCACACACAAATCTAAACTCACTTAGCTTTTTTCTCTCTTTTTATTATTATTATTATTATTGTTAGTAGTAGTAGTATTAGTATTAGTATTATCACTACAGGTGAGGCTCAGGGCCCGGTTGTGTTGAACCTGCAGTTCACTTTTCATTGCACTATCGGTAGGTGACCAGTAGGTGTCGTCTTCACTTTTTCTCGCTCTTATCACCGAAGAAGAAGAAGCGCGGTTTCTTCCGCCTCCATCCGCCGTCGCCTCTTCCTTTCTGCCCGCTAACCCCGAAGAGAACACGCGTTCGCCTTTGTAGCTCAAGTGAGTCTTCTTTTTAATAACCTACCAAGCACAACAGTCAGTGGGAAACTAAGCACAGCGCGTCGAGAAGCTATTAAAGTTCGGCTCCTGGTAACTCGGAGTCATTGAAGATCGGTATATTGTCAGTATTTACTGTTTTTACGCACCGTGGCAGCAGCTAGCTAAGCTATCTAGCTAAGTTAGCTAGCGGGACCGAAGCACACTCCGCCACATGGGTGGCAACCTGCAGCTGTGTTTATCTCAAGTCCAGTTTTTAACTGTTAATTACAATAAGGTTTAACTACAGGTATTAACAGTATATTATTTTCAACACTATAGAGTTTAAGGTCCCACTCACACATCCTGTAAATGTGTCCTAGGTTTAGCGCGTGGCTATGCTAACTGTCCAATATTCTAAGATTGTTCTATATTTGAACGTTTCATGATGTGGTGACAATAATGTCAAGCGGAACTCGGTATCGTGTATGTTTAAGTTTACAATAAGAGCCCATGAGCGTTTTTAATAGAGATTGCTAGCGTCTACTTTACTTTCAACCCAATCCCATGCTGTTCAGATTATAAATAGTGATTCAAATCATAGTACGGCAGCCAGAGATCGTTTCATGTATAGGCAGATTATCTCTGTACAAAGACAATCCAGTGACTATCAACAAGGAAATCAACAGATGAGATTGCTCCTTTAGTCTTCAGGTTTTTAATAAAGGTGTTTCCTGAAGTGGAAATAACGTGAAATAGACCTAAATCAGAATTATCTCTATAAATGTCTGTTGTTAATTATGTGTTATACTTCTTCACTGCGCCTACACAACAACAACCTTTTCCCCATATATAAAACTTTCATCATATTGCCATTGATGGAAATTATATTTTGTACTCAACCCAGAGTGAAATCAAACGCGTGAACAAGCTGTCAACATGAAATGCTTATTCTATGTGCTGGATGTGTCACATTGATAGTTTTCTGGTTTGCTTCTGTTTAAGATGAAGATTAGAACTCTCAACAAAGTTTCCTTCTAAATTGTACGTCTCTTGTTTTTCTAGTTTAGTTTATTGTCAACAATACGTCTGTGTGAACCGTCTTGTTTGTTGTCTGTAGGATGCGTTACGTTGCTGCTTACCTGCTCGCTGCCCTTGGAGGCAATGAAAGCCCTGAGTCCAAGGACATCAAGAAGATCCTGGACAGTGTTGGCATTGAGGCCGATGACACATGCATGGACAAGGTACAGAGCAGCCTGCCCTTCATTGTTTCTGCTGCTTCAGTTGAACCGTTGGCTGGTCATTACTTTTGTGATAGACATTTAATTTGGTCTCTTTCTCAACAGGTCATTTCTGAGCTCAAGGGCAAGAATGTGAATGAGGTGATCGCATCAGGTGAGTTTGGGTAGATCTGAGAGTCTCTAAGACAATGAAGCACCAGGTTGGATTTGAATATTATGTACCTTTGAATTTGAGCAAAAATACATAAAACTGAGCAATCACAAAATATCTGCCAAAAACAAACAGGAGAACCAAGAAGTAACGTTTTGAGATATTAAATGAATATTGACAGAATCACTTGATGGGAGTATCTTACGTTACATCATTCTAGTTTGCGACCAATGCTCAGCTTTTCAAATTTTAACTGAATTGTTTTACACTTGGTTCAAAACAGACAGTGCTGACTGGGTTGAATATCAACCTTTGACTGTGCACTCCAAATATGGTCAAACCTACAGATACAGCGTTCGCTTGGCTAAATCTGTAAAAATTGAAATATTGACACCAAGTCCAGGGAAGATGTTAATGCAAATAAAAACGCTAAATATCCTGATTGTCTTTCTGTCCTGTGGTTTCTGGCTGCTGACTCCCAGCATTATCACTCATGCTTTGTTTGCCAACCCATCTCTCCCCAGGTTACGGTAAACTGGCCAGCATGCCAGCAGGTGGCGCCGTGGCTGTTGCCAGCTCTGCAGCCCCAGGCTCAAGCGCTGCTGCAGCAGCCCCTGCTGCAGGTGAGCTTTTCAGCTTAGCACTTTGTCAGCATCAGTGACACATGGCGCACAGTGCCTCTGCTTTCACCTTGTATGTCAGTATGATAACTTGAAGCCAAATTAGTCGTCACAGTTAGTTTCTTTATCTTTTCAATGGAAGAAAAGCTCCAACATTTGAACAGATGAAGAATATAGATTGTGGTTAAAAGCCATGTAGGATGCTGAAGTTTTTGGGGGACAATTATGGAATGTTTGTGCAAATTTGTAGAAATTGGTGTCATCATTTTCTTATTCATAAGTTAAAGTATAGGAACCTCACATACAACAGTTTGTCATATTAACCCAGCAATGGTGGGCAGCTGTTTTGTTCGAGGTGCGCAAGTTACCCTCTTGAGCATACCTGTTAGTTCAAGTGTGCTTTGTTGTTTATAACAGGATAATAATATCAAGTTGTTGTTGTTGTTTTGCAGCTGAGGAGAAGGAAGAGAAGAAAGAGGAGTCTGAGGAGTCCGATGACGACATGGGATTCGGCCTGTTCGACTAAACTTTTTCAAAACATGAATAAAGTTTATAAAAAAAACTCTTCTGTTAAATGTTTCTTTCCAAATCTTCATCCAGTTAACCACATTTTATCTGTGGTGAGAAGATGGTAAATTGCAGTTTTAATCTGCTAACTATAAAGCTCCCTTTTTCAAAATAGTTTTCAAATGTGTAGAAAATATGATTTGACCAAATAATGACGATTGAGGTTCCACAATTTATTGATGGCTCAAAATTGTCGGTCAAGTTTTTTTCAGAGGGCCAGTGCCAATATGTGAGTCTTCAATGTTTAGTCTTTAGGTCCAATCATGTGATAGGACAATGACTCTTTCAAAGTACTGTTACAATCAGTGGACCATGACTTGTGTAATTGAGTGGTATGGCCAACAGATGGTGCTAGTGAGTGTCTTGACTACTGCAGTATGGCAATGTTGGTTACTGTGTCTGACGAGTGCTGAATTATCCATGACAATGAATCCCTACACCAGAGTAACAACTCTGCACCCTATCAGTAATTAGGATAAAAACGCTATGACTGCAGGTGATGTGCACGTAGTTTACCACTATGAGAGAATAGATCAAAAGAATAAAATTGTTCCTATACTTATCTCCTGGATCAAAGGTGTGTTTACTTGAATGTGATCTTTTCCACAATAAATGATTCCGGGCTCTGTAGTAGAAGTGAGAATCCATCACTGTCGCTGACACACACGGGCACATCAGTTGTTCTACTCAGACAAAAAGCAGGTTATAAATATTCTCAGTCTTTGATCTAAATCTGGGAATTCAGCATCATTTCAGAACAGACGAGGCTGGTTGAAAATATATAAATAATACTCAGAACCTTAATGTTGGCCTAAAAATAGTCTCTTACTGTGCATTTGAGTTCTGAAAGGGAGAAGCATGATGGATAACTAAAAAATAGCAATCCAACGAATCAGTGAGGGTTTTTTCTGTTTGCTGCCACTCTGCTGCAGCCAATGAATAGAAGAGGCCTCACTGGTTTTCTGAGGTCAGCTCATTTCATGAGATTTAGGTTCAAGGGTCAACACAATGAACTGAAATCACTAATCATTAAACCACACAGATGAGTCAATAGCCACAGTGAGTTCTTATAACTTCAGAGGAGCAGGACACAGTCAGGCTTCATGTGAATATGCGCTTGTTTTTCCATGTTAGCTCCAGACCTATAATCAGCTTTTAAACTATTGGTCATATGTACAGTGTGTTTTGCTGACTGCCTCAACACTGCAACTAATTATTATCATCTACCATTGAATTAACAGTCTGTTATCTACAACACAGTGTGTTACAAAACATGAGAGTAGTTATAGAGCTTGACTGAATCACTAAAATCACATTTTACTGTGTACTCTTAACAGCTCTGATTACTTAATCCACCTCTCAGGCTGAACTCAGACACAATGTCCACATATCTTTGCTCTTATCTAAATATCTTTGCTCCTGAGTAATCACAGACAGACCATAAACTCAAATATGGAGCCTAATAGTACATATATAATTAGAATGGCACTCAGAGCACGTACCTCCACCAAGGTCCAACTTAAGGTGACTGAGCTTTAAGACCTAAACACAACTGTTCACATTGAAAAGACACTCCCCTGTTTGTCAGAGATATTCAACAAAACACAAACACTAGGTTTTTTTCATGGGGTGTCTTTGGAGTGTCAAGTATGGTTCTTTCACATAAAGGTGATGCATAATTATAAAGGACACATTCTATGGTAAAGAAAACAACAATTTATACAATTTTGGTGATCACGCACAAGTTTAATTGATTCTTCTTTCGTCCAATCCTTTCACTCAGTTTTGTGGAAATCCATTGAGTTGTTTTTGTGAAATTTTGCTTCCAAACAAATGAACAAACAGACAGAGGTTAAAATGTAACCTTCTTGGTGAAGGTAACACTTGATTGGCATGTTAGCTTTATAGAGGGTAATGTACCCTGTTTGTCATGGTTATTGTTAAAAAAAAAAAAATTCTGTTTCTTTTTCAATTTAGTCAACCCTTCCCTCCAACGCTAGACCCACAAAACCAAAACAGTTTTCTTATATGATGACTTCTAAGTATCAGTAGGAGGCAACCATCAAATAACAAGACCCAGCTTATGGCTCTGGATACGTCATTAAAGCAGATGAACCTGTGACAGAAAAAAAGTTTCCACTGGGAAGTTTTTTCTATAACGCAACTGAAATGTCTCAATCAACCAATGAGTCATGTCAGGGTGTGTGACTATAAGACTGTTACTTACTTGTTTAATTTAGCTGACGTTACTGAAAAGAACAGAGCTGAGTCATGTGAAATGAGTTAGTGGGTCTGTGAGATGTTGAGTGTTTTATGTCTGAGGACAGAAAGTGCTGCACAGATTGTTTGTCATCTGCTAAACAGCCTTTTAATCAGGGCTGCACAGAAACCAGAGGGGAGCATGGACCAAGATTTGAAAACACAACAAAAACAACATTTTAAGCACAACCTGTTGATTTATAGCAACACGTATTCAAACAGAATGAAACTTGGAATCTTCCAACATACCCCATCTTGGAATTTCCAATGAGGGGATCTCACCATGTACTTCTCCTTCTCCCACCGAGCATCCACGGACACGTCACGTATGTGATGTAATATGTTTACAATTTAGGTTCTGTACTTAATTAACTTTGAGGTATATTTGAATGGCACACTCCTTTATACTTCTCCACTACATTTCAGCAAGAAGTAATGTGGATGTTGGGACTTAATGTAAAGGATTCTTTTTCCCCTCCACCAAGGAGGTTATGTTTTCACCTGCATGTATTTGTGTGTTTGTTTGCTATGAGCAGGGTTACGCAAAAAATGTTGAACTCATTATTACAAAACTGGGTACAACGATGTTGTGTGGGTCAGGAAAGTACTCATTATGTTTTGGTGCAGATCCAGGAAAAAAACATTTTCACTGTCTTTAACATTGTCAGTTTTTAAAAAAAATATTGTTGACTTCTCAGAGAATAATACTTGGATCTTGATTGAATAAATCAGGCATAATTAGGACTGATATGTGAGTGTGTGGAATTTAGAGCAGCTTGATTGAGTTTAAGGGAACTGTTGGGCCTATGTGCTCCAGTAGTTAAAGCCAGTAAAGATCCATAGTTGGGTTTTATGGTCTGTCTGTGATTCTTTAAGAGCAAAGTTATGTAGATATGAGAAAAGTTATGTAGACGTTGTGCCTTTTAAAAACTTCAGCCTGAGAGGTGGATGAAGTAATCAGAGCTGTTAGAGTACACAATAAAATGTGGATTTCGTGATTCATTCATCCTCTATTACTATCTTGTGTTTTTTAGCACACCGTGTGATACTGTGTTGTAGATAACACATACTGTATATAAAAAGGTAGATAATGTTCAGTTGCAGTGTCAAGGCAGTCAGCAAAACATAATGTATATATGACCAATAGTTTAAAACCTGATTATAGGTCTGGTGCTGCTATTGAAACACAAGCCACGTGTTCACAAGTCTGTTGTCATTGTTAAAATAGACTTGTCTGTGTTGTTCAATGATCATTGTGATTACTGTACTGTCACTGTCTCCATTACAGAGTGTGAAATGTGGTGCAGATACTAATAAAAGTCCAGATCTGGTGAGTTTCAGTGTGATTCAAACAGAGGCTGTTGGGCCTTGGTGGAGGTAACTGAGTATGATTCTAGTTTTACTTTGTAGTTTTGGTACTTAAAGTAAATGATCTGAGAAATTCTTTCACCACTGGTAAAGTAAGACTGTGTCACTGAGCCCTACTTTACTATATAGTACCTTATAGAGCACTACATCAACGTCAACCCAGCTTTTGGACAATACTGTGTCATCTGTGTACATCATCGTATCGGCTGCCCTCGCTCCTGTCTCGCCACAACCGCAACACATAATGGTATATATTGCCAGTGACCATCGGTTGTGCACTTTTCTCTATTTGCATGTGTGGTGACTTTTTTGCAGTGCATGTGTCGTCAAATTGATAAAGTTGTTCTCTTAATTTGCAGTTGTTTTTTTCTTCTTGCATTTGTTTTGTTAAATTGCAGTGGGTTAAGCTCTCTCTGCCACCTTAATATGGGGCATAAAAATGTTCACAGAAGGAGGATATCAGGGGACATTTAGGCTCAAAACACGGTGCAAATGATGCTGTTCCAGCTGAATTTGAATGTCGGGGCTTGCAGACACTTGGATGACACCACACGAGCAGTATGAAGACATTAAGTGTTTTTTCTGTTGTAGTTCTTCTGTTTGAAGATGTGGTCACCATTCACTTCAATTGTAGTGGATTTGGCTGCAACACTGTTCACCCCTGAAACTCCAGAAGTGTTTTGTGGACTCAAACACCTCACCCACTCCTCCATCTGCATAGTGCTGAGCAGCCATCACTTTAAACTTGACAGAGAAGCTCTCGATCGATCGATCATCAAATTGACGTTGTGCTCTCTCGGCCACCGTAATATGGGACACCACTACAAAATGGCGAACTCACCGTGGAGCGGACTGATCAGGGATGAGGGGGGGGGGGTTCGGACACAGACAAACCATTTACAATAAAAACAGCTCTTCATTAAACGAGTTAATATCATAGACTGTATATAAAGAGGTTAATATCTAACGCTGATGAAACACGTGACTCTAATTTGAACGTGAGATCAAATGACTGCACAGACTCCTCCCACTCAGCGAGGCGGGCGCGCGCTGTGACGTAACGGTCGGTTGGTAGTTTATAGGTGACGGTCGGGGCGGAGCCGTCAGTCGATCGTCTCGCCAGCGGACAGTGAAGGTTACCTGCTTCAACAGTGCTTGAACGGAAACCTCTCAGTCTGTCTCCCGACACCTCAGCACCGGACTCACCGCTGATCACTCTTCATCCTCTGATCACTCTTCATCCTCAGCATCTCAGCGAACGTCCTCCTCAGAAAACTCCGTCCAGAACTCCGTTAGCCCGACAGCTAGCTAACCGTTTGTTGTGCTAACGACACGAGACGCTGCTTTTCAACCTCCTCACCGGAAGAAGAAGAGAAAACACCAACACCGACGCTTGGTAAGAAGCTTTGTTTCCTCCGGTGTTGTAGTCACCGACGGACACACGCGCACGCTGCGTCAGTGTTGTTGTTGTTACGTCCAGCTTCGTGAATCCGCTGCGGCCTTTTTACGCAGTTTGTTGTCTGCGTCATGTCCTCAGGTCTGAACACGCTTCATCACAGACTCGCGTGTTTCAGACCAAACGGTCCTCACACCCTCACAGTTTGAACCCTCAGCCTCCTACTTTAATAGAATGTTACATATTTGTGTAGAAAACTGCTGTAAATTAAATAATTAAATTAAAATAAGCTTTAACGTCAATTGGCAAGACGAGTTACATAATGAAATGAAGCCTGGTTAATAATAATCCCCAGATATTCGGAAAGTCGATCATTTGCGATGATCTGTTTTTGTTAGTGAAGTAATTTGATGTTTGGGTCTGTTGATGAGGAGAGAAGACGATTTGATGACTTCATCTTGGAAATTGTGATGAGCCTCTGTTTGAGTTGAATCCATTAATAACTACTGAGCAGATGTTAACAGTTGTGTTTGTTTGCTGTGTTTCAGAATCATGACTTCCCAGGTGAGACAGAACTTCCATCAGGACTGCGAGGCTGCAATCAACAGGCAGATCAACCTGGAGCTGTACGCCTCCTATGTCTACCTGTCCATGGTGAGAGTCCAGTCCATTATAGAGGAAAACATTTTTAAAAAACCCTGATGATTTTAACTCTCTTCAAATGTACTGGTTATTTAACTGCTCTGCCGGCTGAGCTGTGTTTTCTGTCGTGCCCACAAAGTGCTGCCAGTGTGCCAACTTCCTTCAGAGGGATGAAAGAGCACGTGGGAGGTTTGGGTGAGGGTAGCTGAGGCAGCCATAAGTACACACAGTCGTCAGAGTAGCTGTTTTTTTCCAACATGAACTTGTAAACATGTTTTTAGTAACTTGTTTATCATGTTCTCGATCTCAGGTGAATAAATGTTATGAGGCTGAGTAATTGAACAAAGGTTGATAAATGCTCTCACTACTTTCTGGTCATTTTTTCTAAAGGATTTACAAAGTGTGTTAGTTGAGACATATTTTAAAGGCTTTGTGTTCTATTTACCCTGCTTATCTGAGCTGTTTCTGTTTCTAGTGCTGCTGAACCACTAATAAATTATTAATAGGCCAAAGTATGAGTGGTGTTACCACTTTAATGGAGGCAATGCAGTGCCATAGAGCCACTGTAGATCATCTGAGTGTTCTCCTGCAGCCATATTTCACCTGAGGGAAATGTCTAGTTGAAAACACTAACCGTGTCCTCTTTTCTCCTCACAGGGTTACTTCTTTGACCGGGATGACCAGGCATTGCACAACTTTGCTAAGTTTTTCCGTAATCAGTCACACGAGGAGCGTGAGCATGCCGAGAAACTAATGAAAGTACAGAACAACAGGGGGGGACGGATCTTCCTTCAAGATGTCAGGGTATGAGAGCACGTTGGATTTAATGTGTTTATCTAAAAAATATAGAAATAAATCTGTTTTCTGGGGATTCTTCCATATCTATGTTGGGTGGGTAACATAAGGTCATAAAGATACAGAGGGAGTGAGCATGCTGCCAAGCTTATCTTTCTCAGACATGCAACCACACACCCCTCAAACTTCAGTAAACCGTTAAACTGCAAACCCGCGTTGTCGGGTTGCTAGCCTCTCACCTTTTCATTAATGAATGTCTCACTGCTCTCTTGACCTGCTTTGTGTTGCAGAAACCAGAGAGAGATGAGTGGGGCAGTGGGATCGAGGCTCTTGAATGTGCCCTGCAGCTGGAGAAGAGCGTGAACCAGTCACTACTGGAGCTGCACAAGCTCTGCTCTGATCACAATGACCCACATGTGAGTATGATTCATTGCTCAGTTGCACGTCTTCCTCTAAAGTCACAGTTTTTTATAGAACACCAGTCCCAATCCTCAAATCTTAAAGAGGTATCCGGTGTTTCATTACTAGTACATTAGCTGATCAAGGAACAGATCTGGTTCCTGTCTGTAAAATGATCTTACTCTCTTTTCAGCTGTGTGATTTCATTGAGACGCACTACCTGGACGAGCAGGTGAAATCCATCAAAGAGCTGGGCGACTGGGTGACCAACCTGCGCCGCATGGGAGCTCCTGGCAATGGCTTGGCCGAATACTTGTTTGACAAACACACCCTGGGCAAAGAAAGCAGCTAAATCCCTCCATAGCTTCTTCACAGACGCTTCTTTCTATGTATATTTGTATCTTGCGTCTATATTTTAAACAATACAAGGCCGTGTGCATGGTAGTGGCTTGTCATTTCAATCTGTATTATTCTCATTGCCATTTACTCTCAAATTAACATCTATAAAATGCCTGAGCACTATTCTGTTCAAATCCCACTCTGACATCCTGCTCTCTCTCTTTCAGCTGCGTTCTTGTCATTACTATGTATTTGCTGAGTTTTATGCCAAGAGCTCTTGAATAAAATGAACCCTCTGGATTCTGATCAGTCTCATATTTGAATGTCTGTGTTAAGAAAAGCTCATTTGAAAGGGTCTAAATTAAGCTTTAAAAGAGGAATTATAGAGTGAAGTTTTTGTTTCACTTCCATTACCGGAGAAAACATAACTTGAGCCCTAATTATGGGTATTGCTCATAGTGTGGAACAAATTCTAAATACAACATCTGTTTTACATCTTCACTTCTGAAACTGTTCTAACTGTATTTAAGCAAATCTAGAACAAGATGTTGGTAGGTGAAAGACTCCAAAGACTAATAATCAAGAATATAATCACTGTGTTTATCTGAATGTAAAGATCATAATTACTGCTTTCCTCACAGGCAAGTCTCTAGAATATAACACCAAAAATCCAAAATAAGCAGCTTGATGTGAAGCTAATTCATATCATCTGCTGCCCATGCTCATTGTCCTCTGTGGAGTCTGAGACTTTCGTAGACTGTGACCTTGTTTAAGTGATGGTTCCCAAGACTAGTTCTTAACTTTGTAATGCGTTGACTTTTCTGGACCCTTTGGAGGGTTTTTAAAAAAAACACGTTTTTGCTGGATTTATGACTCAGACGTTTTACAGTTTTTTTTCCTGTGATGGATCTCACCTGTTGTTTCTGTCTGTGATCGGTGCAAGTGGGAATCCCTTGAGTAGTGATTCAGAAGTAACAAGACTAACCTACAGCTCTAATGCCACCAACAATGAAAATTATTGTAGAGCGCATACCTCCACCAAAGTCCAAGTTCATTTAAATCATTCTCAAAATGTTACAACTCCTGGATCAGTGCCAAAACATCATGGGTTCTTCCTTGGGTCATGTCCCAACCCTCCACTAAATTTAAATTTCATGATATCGGCCGGAGTAGTTTTTCTGTAGTACTGCAAACAAAAAATTTAAAAAAATGCAGACTAAGACATAGCCTTCTTAGCAGAATGTACTGATATACTGAAATAGTTTTAATTTATAATTGACACACAACTACAAATAAATATAAATGTTTTTTATATGCAAGAAAATGAATTTGGACCTTGAGTGAATATCCTCTGTGATACATGCAGGATTTCTTTTCTGCACTCCTGAACATACTCAAAGTATGTTTCTTATTTGGGTTACACCATTTAATAAATCTTTGTTACTGTCAATCTATCTCCAAACATTTCCCAGTAAAAAAATACATGAAGAAAAAAATTCACAGTTTTATCTTCAATCAGCCAATTTCATTTTAGGATCTACATCATAACAGAGAAATTATTGTAGAGTTGTAAATCGTGTAAAAATAAACTGTAACAGCCATGTTTAAATCTTCCTGCAGTTCATACTGGATCCTGTGTGTAGCCATCCAACTAACGGTGTGTAGAAACACATGGGAGAGAAGTTAAACTCATTTTTAAATGCAAATGGACGTGTATTCAACATTCACTGGAAATACACTTTATGGAAAGTTTCATAACACACACCAGTCTGTAATTTATTCCCAACAAGAACAGCTGTGAACAACAGTGAGGCACTTTTCTGAAATGAGTGCTACAACGAGCAATATTACAAAATCAACATTTGTTGATAATCAGATGCACTCTGGAATATGTGATGGTGAATTAACAGTGACCACAGTCCCGGCCATACTGAGGTTTTCACGCTTCTTCCAGCTCCACCAGCACACCATCACAGTCTTTAGGATGAAGAAACATCACTGGTTTCCCATGAGCACCTATCCTGGGCTCTGCTGACAGAGTTCTGATGTTCTTAGCTTTCAGGTCAGCTATCGCAGCGTTGATGTTGTCCACCTGCAAAACGGAAATAAAATGTGTTCATTATTCATCCCACTTCACTGAGTCTGATTCATACTCATGTAAAATGCAGCAAAATGACTGGATTTATTGTGTTAAATATGAAACAGAGGGACAAGTTGGACAACTGAGGTTTAAAATGTGCAACATTAAAGCTGCTCTCAGACAGGAGATGACCACCGGACATTTTCCTTTCTCAAGAGTTTGGGAGACAAAGGCTGATGCCGGTGTCGATGTGATGTTAACACAAACATGATTTACACAACAGAGTTAATGTACCAGCACACTCTACCCAGGCACCACCCCCCCCTAACCCTAACCTGAATAACTCTGACGTTTTCCTGTTGTTGCCGTGAATGTGTCTGACTGTCGACCTCCTGCGGCGTTATTAAAATGTGAAAAGCCACCTCCAGAAAATGTGTCACGTAGCGGTTTCAAGTAGCGTTGCTGTGATAAGAATCTGCATGGGACATTTTTCTGTTCACAAATAAGACTCGTCAGCGCCCCCTGGAGGACAAAGCTTTTAATGTTGACACTTTCTGCTGCTGGTTGACAACTGCATACATTTCTTTCACATTTTTGTAAAAGCTTGTTACTAGATGAAAAGAGGGAATGATACTGACTCTGAACTTAAGAGTCTGACACCTTAAAACATTTTCAAAATGAAATAAAATGTGCCCTTAATCCAGAGCTGGATTTGGACTCCTCATACACTGTTGCAACTAATACAGAATGAGTGATGGACACATGTATTGTATGTCAGTGACATTAGAGACCTGATGTTGGTTGCCTCACTGTTGCATTGTTATGGTTTACAGGCACAGAGCCATTAAACACCTATGACGCATCCAAAAACTCATCAAAAAGTCGTTTAGTGCATGTTGTTGTTAGTTACCTCCACAAGTGAGGTTATGTTTTTGCCCCTGTCCATTTGTTTGTCACCAGAAATGTGCAAAATCTACTGAACAGATTTCCACAAAACCTGGTGGAAGGATGAGCCAAGTAAGAACTCAGTTGTTTTGATTGAGAAAAAGTGGCAGATGCAGCAATTTTTTCTTTCTTTCTTATATTTTGTGACATTTTTGCCAATTTCCCAGGGAAATAATACATGGATTATGATATATTTTTTTAATCAGGCATATTTAGAGGATTGACATCAATGAGTGTGTGTAATTTGGTGCCTTGACTGAATCTAAGTGGACGTTGTTGGGACTTACTGGAGGTATGTGCTCTACTGGGTGCCATTCTAGTTACAGTATACCTGTGGTTTTCCTGCTGTAAGAGAGTTTGCTATAAAACTATGTTCCATACAAAGCTGATGAGATCTAGCTAACTGAATGTCCACTGACTACAAGGAATGCGATCGATGTCGCCTCACCTCGATACAAATGTGGTGCATCCCTCCAGACTTGTTCTTTTGTAAGAAGCCAGCGATCGGACTCTTCTCCCCCAGAGGATGGAGCAGCTCCAGCTTCGTGTTGCCGAGCTCCACGAACACGGTGTAGACACCGTGCTCGGGCAGGGGCACCTTGTCACTCACCGTGGCCCCGAGCACATCCCGATACAGAGCCGTGGCCTTCTCCATGTCGGGGACAGCGATCGCGATGTGGTTCAGCCTCCCCAGCTTCCACAGAGATGAGGGAACGCCCTGATGGAGGGATGCTGTCATTGAATAAGCCCTCAGGAGTGTGAGACGGGAACATCTGGAGAGACCTGCCACTGAATGAGAAAATATGATGAGATCCAAAGGTGGAGCATTTACCTAAACTTCCCTCTTTTTATTTTAGATATTTCTATTACCTTCATGGAGTATCAAGGTTTGATAAATCTTCCACCCACTGTCTGACACAAGTTTTCTGATGTTTACAGACTGAGCACTACATGTTTTTATGAGTGTGCCTGCATCACTCCATCAAATGAAAATATTCTACATGTTCTTTCATGTCACGTAACATGCTGCCACCAAATCATATCAGATACCATTTACTAGATTTTAGTACTTATATTATATATGAATATTCAAGCTTTAAGAAATATATCTTTAATAACGTCCATGTCATGTGACCCACTGACTCCAAACACATTCTGAATTGTTAGTCTAGATAAACACGACACACACTTTGAATATTTCCAAACACACACATTTAACACTATGTGTTGAATTATGTGACATCTCTCCAGTCACGTTCAGAGAAAGAAATCCTGAAGCGGTTCGAGCCTCTTGTATCTTAGTTTAGCACTGATACTCCCTGATAGATTTACCTTTAATTCAAGGAGTGTTTGAAATTTGAGTTAGAGAAAACACGTGGTGAATAACACACTGGACTGTCACAGATTTCAGTGGACTGCGTGAAATTATTTTTGCTGTCACATTAAATAAATGCAGGAACTTTTTTAATCAAAATAAACACGAGGAGTCGCGTGTTTCCAGCTGCTCATGAAGTGAACACGAGCTTTAACTGAGACTTCGGTGTGAAACAGACCGAGTTGAAGTCTCGTTTAATAATCTACAGGGAATTCAAAAAAGGATTGAGTGCAGAAAATCATTCGTTTCATTGTTGACACAAACCAACCTGCAACCTTCAGCACGGCGGACGCCATCTTTTTACCCCGGAACCAAGCGGCGCCGGAACGGTTTCTCGGTGAGCCTGTTTACCTGCGACTCAGACGCACACACGCGTGTGGGGGGACAGGATGGCGAGTGGAGAAATGTGGAGCGCGCTGGAGGAGTGTGTGAAGACGATTAATGACAACACATCGCAACCCGAGGATTTTCTCAGGCAAGTGTTTCCACCGCGTGTGCTGTTGAAGAAGCTGTAAAATGTCGCAGCAGCTTCGTCGACGCGCTGTTTGAACTGTGGAACTCGACTAGCTCACCGCTAGCTAATGCTAACACGAGCAAGGACCCGGCTCCTCCTCACTTACTTACTTTAATGATCAGTGCTGCAGCTTATAAATACTGTAGAACTAGTAAATGTCCTCATTTAAAATCATATTGTACAACTTATTTATATTGTTTTAATGTCCAGCTCTGGATCAGGCCCTTTTAAAGCATATCAAGCTGAGATCAATGAGAGTCAGCTCGTAGACATCTGCAGTAATTAAACTGTAATAACTCATTAGCCCCTGGTTTCATCTGAACACTGACTCTTGTGTGCCTGGTCTCGTACATTTATACAAAGATAATACATAAGTGACAGGAAGTGGAATAGCTGTAGGATTAAAATGTCTGCAGTGAATGAAAGATGCATTAGAACAAGTTCTAATTTCGTTTTATATAAATTCAGGACTGAGCAATAAAACATAGTAATACATTTATGTTTCGACACTTATTCTGTGTAGTCAACATAATCTATGCAATCAACATAATAAGTAATAAGTAGCAACATAAGTGATGTATTTTTCTCAGTATTTTTCTTTATAATTGCCTGTTGATTTGTATGTTGTTATCAAAGATGATCTTTATTTCCAGTGAAGCAACAAAGTCTGCAATAAACTATTGAGTTGAAAACAGAAACGGCCTCTTCGAGAAATCGTATGATAGCTTTTTTAAAGTATAAAACAGATTTACAGTGCTCAGTGCTAAAAGTCGTTCTTTAACCAGTGTTATGTTTGTGTATCACGGATGAATGTATTACAATATAAGGTTGTTTTGTGTACTTGTACCAACCCCTCAATTGAAGATGCATTATTCGCTATATTGATTGTGTGTTTCCAACTTTGCAGTCTTCAGGATGGAGTGGCAGCAGACTTCACCTCTCTCACTAAGACCCTGTATGACCTCCATAAAGCCCAGGAGCCTGCGAGTTATAGAGGCAGCCTGTTGAGACAGCTGGTGGTGGAAAACTTCGATGAGGAGCAGATCTGGCAGGAGCTGGAGCTGCAGAACAATGCTGTACTGAAACACTTTAAAAAGGCGATTGATGAGGCTGTGTCAGATGAGACTTTAACGGTGCTGGTCGAGGAAGAGGAAGAGAATGGTGATGAAGCAGAGGTTGAGACTGATGATGAAAATGTTGACGAGGGAGAAGAAGAAGAAGAAGAGAAGGAGAAACCACGCAAACAGTCAACGAAAAAGGCCGTGGAGGCAGAGGATTACACAGATGAGGGCTCTGATCTAGATTTTGACGTGGATGCTCTTGAGAAACGAGAGAAACGGAAGAAGGAGATCGGAAGGAAAGGCTCAAAAACAAAAGTTGTTCCATCTGAGGTTGATGATAAGTTCTTCAAGTTGTCTGAGATGGAGTCCTTTCTCGATGATATGGACAAGCAGGACGGAAAGGAAGATGAGGATGAAGATGGGGTTAACTATTTTCAGGACCTGGCCTCTGATGAGGACGATGATCTCGACCTAGAAGAAATTATTTCGACCAAAAAGCAAAATAAAAAAACGGTAATGCTTACCCCCTAACCCTTATTAATCGTCTATTTTACTGTGTCCCGATGATGCAGATCTGTTGATTATTGTTATTGTCTTCAGGTAAAGAGCTCCAGGAATCTCAAGTACAAGGACTTCTTTGATGCTGTGGATAGTGAACCAACTAAAGCAGATGAGCAGTCAGATGGCGAGGATGAAAGCCAGGAGGAGGGTGAAGAACAAATAGATGACGAAGACGATGACTATGATGGTGAAGAGGAGGGTGACGATGAGTAAGTGTGATTCATTTTATGTAGCTTGTTTATAACTATATGTTGGAAAATTGTGTTTGGTTTATTCTTCTATGCTTGTGAACCACTCTTCGATAGGGATGAAGAGAGAAGTCACCTCAAATCTTCCAGTAAGAAAGTGTCCTTTAACCTCTCTGGAGATGAGGACAGTGAAGGAGAAGACGTGGAGGACATTTTTGGGGGGAAAAGTCAAAATTCAGCGAAATCTGAATCAAAGTCGTCATTTGAGAAACGACAAGAAAAGGTAACAAGGTTTAAGGTTTGAATTTATGTGTCATTTTTTCTGTTTAACAAAATAAGACTCTCTAGAAAGGCAAGAAATGGGACTTGCATGTGCAAATTATCATCAGGTGGTCACATTAGCCCTTTTCAGATCTAAACTGGAGTTTGCCTTTCACATATGAAGAATGAAGCAGTTCTTGTGTTTTCAAGTGCAAGTCAGGTTTCCATCTGAATGCCCACTGATGTCGATCATTGTATCCTTTTGTTGTCCTGACCTGCAGATGTCAGAGAAGATCGGGGAGCTGGAGAAAGCAGCTCTAACACAGAAGCCCTGGCAGTTGTCTGGAGAGGTGACGGCACAGACTCGTCCAGAGAACAGCATGCTGGAGGAAGATGTGGAGTTTGAGCAGACGTCCAGGATGGGTGAGTGACTCTTCTGGGTTTGTGTGCATATTCTCAATGTTGTTATGTGTATATATTTATACTGTTTCACTGAGGGCTCTCTCTGTATGAGCTACTTTAAATCTAACAACACGATTTTGTCTTCTCTTTTAGCTCCTAGTATCACAGAGGAAACAACCCTACAGCTTGAGGACATCATTAAACAGAGAATTAAAGACCAGGTCAGTTACAATAACTTTGTCTTCACATTGTCTGACACAAGGGATTTTGTTGACTGATAATAACATCATCTTTGTGTTTCCATCAGGCATTTGATGATGTGGTACGCAAGGAGAAACCCAAAGAGAAGGTGTTTGAGTACAAGAAGAGACTAACATTGGACCACGAGAAGAGCAAGCAGAGTCTCGCAGAAATCTATGAGCAAGAATTCCTCAAGCAGAATCAGGTTTGACTTTTCATCTTGTTTTCACTGCTACTCCAACACAAATGAACCTTTGCTGCATTCAGTGTTTGTACTTTTTTTTTATTTCAGCAAAAGACAGAGGAGGAGGAGAACCCAGCCCACGTGGAAATTCAGAAGCTCATGGACACACTCTTCCTAAAGCTGGACGCTCTTTCCAACTTCCACTTCACACCTAAACCAGTAAGTTTTATCTTAAAATAGTGAGGCTGTTCTTTTGAAAGATAAATAGAAGTTAACTGAGTCGGCAGGCAACAGAAATAACAGGCTCAACATGATCTGTGATTCTTATTGCAATAAAGTTTTTAAGTCATAGAAAGTTATATCACATAAATATATAACATGTCATCCTAAAGTTTAGTTAAACTGTAGATATAACTGTAGATAACTGAAAAGTTTATAACCACTCCCACGTTGTCCACAGCCTGTTCCTGAGGTCAAAGTGGTGTCTAACTTACCGTCCATCGCAATGGAGGAGGTGGCTCCAGTCAGTGCCAGTGATGCAACTCTGCTCGCACCAGAAGAAATCAAGGTTCGTCATCCATCCACGTTCAAAACATGTATTTTGATCTTGGTATTTTTTGTCAAGCACTGTCTAATAATACTCTCCTCTATTCACAGGAGAAGAACAAAGCAGGAGATGTACTGGGTGATGTTGAGAAAACGTCAACAGACAAGAAGCGTGAGAGACGTCACAAGAAGAAGGTGAAGCGTCTGAAGATCAAGGAGAAAGAAACGAGACAGAAACTTAAAGAGGCCAGTAGAACTGGAGAGAATAAAAAGTCAACAAAGACCGAAGTCACAGAAAACCTGAAGAAACTCACAAAAGGAGGCAAAGCCACGATACTGAAGGTGAGTGTTTATCTTGAAGAAGATTATAAAGGGAAACAATAGGAATCAAGTGAACTGTATTTCTTTGGAGAACTCTTCCAGCAAATAAAATTAATTAGGGCTCGACTTAACTACATTTCAAATGAAATGTCGCAATTTACTATGCTTTGATAAATAAAACAACTTAATCTCCTGCTATGTCCTGAGTCAACTGATATGTAAGATTATTACTGCATCATAAACTAGGTCATCTATTTTAAGTTGTCAGACTGAATCCTCAGTACTCTGCTTCCGTTGCTCAGACATCATAACCTTAAGTGGTAAAATAACATTATTGTGAATGTTCCTGAGGTAACTGAACTAACCGTGTATTCCTCTTTTTCAGGACGAGGGAAAGGACAAGGCTCTGCGGTCGTCTCAAGCCTTCTTCTCTCAGCTGCAGGACCAAGTCAAGAGTCAGATCAAAGGTGCAAAAGACCAGTCTTCAAAGAAGAAGAAACACAAAGAGGTCTCCGTCAGCAAACTCAAGTTATAATAACTGATGGTTTGTTATGTGAGATCAACTTGTTATTGTACAGAGTCTTTTTATGAGCAAGCAGAAATTTATTAACTCTGAAAGTCCTTGTAAAATGTTTCCATTTTCATTAAAATAAATCAAATGTCTAAATCCTGGTGTGTATTTGGTCTTTGTTAAAGCACTTTCACTCACATGACAATATCAGAGCACTTTACTTTCTGAAAAGATGAATGGAAAGGCCCTATCTGATATGTGAGTACAGTACCTGAAATAATTTGAACTAGAAGTGAATTTAATTGTAATGGGTATTGTGATGTTTTGCATGTAACAAATTCTAGTAGTTTGTTGATTTTTATAAATTCTTAACAAAAAGAGGTAAATGCACCTTCTGCTTTTATTTATTTCGTGGTTACACACTTCTACTTCATGATCTAGGGAAAAGAAAGAAAAACAAACCATTAAAGCAGTTGTGGTTTGTGCAAACAGTTTGTGCACCCAACTAAAATAAACTGTGGGGCCTTCAGGTGAGGTTGGAATAATCGTATCACCAAATCCGATTCACCAAATTGACTTGAAAAGTACCTTAATTTGAAAAGCATCTGTGAAAGTCAGTGAAAATGTTATTCCCACACCTGCTAACCGGCATAATTAACCAGTTCTAACCAGTAGCTTTTATTGTGATCGTGTAAATGAAGCACATTTTGTTTTATTCTGTTATTTCCAGGCCCTGTTACACACAGCACGTTTATGTTTCACCTACATCTAATTCTTCTGATTATTCCGCGGCCACTGAATGCACTATAAGACTCCGCCCCTTACAGAAACGTCCCATGACGTAAGTGAAGCTCATTGCGGAAGTGAACGAGGCGACAGGAGACAGACGGAAACAAACAAGTTGGTGCGGACGCTTGACGGATATTTACCGGTGAGTTACTGTCGCTCTCTTCGACTTTGTCGCATTATTTCAAAGTTCTCCGCCATGTTGTATCAGTTTGTATCGCTGAAGCTAACGTTGAGCTAGGTAGCTAGAGCAGAACGATGACACAACAGAGGCGTGCTAACAAAGCTAGCTAACAGGTGTAACACCACACACAGGTTAATAGCTTCTGAACATAATAACAACGCTGTGGTTTATTATATATGTGAAAAAAAACGATACTTAAAAGATTGTATCGTTTCGAGTGTGAGCTCAGGTGGCTTCGTTACCTCTCCGGCTAAAGCTAACTTCCGCAATGCTACGTAGTGTTTTGTCAGTGAGCTAACTTAATGCCATCGCGGTGTTTATGTTTGTTTGTTTGGGGTAAATGTGCGGAGTCATTCTGTCGCGATGGGTTGGTCTTGCTCACATGATGACGTGACTCAGTCGATCGGAGGTCAGCTGGCCTGTGTTGCCTGGTTTCGGTTGAATACTTCCGCCCGTCTCATGCTCTCCTGCTCTCAGACAGAACATCACCATCATGCTGGGAGGAGGATTCAAAGCAGAGAGGCTAAGAGTGAACCTCCGGCTGGTCATCAACCGACTCAAACTCCTTGAGAAAAAGAAAAGTGAGTCTGGGGCTGGGTGAACAAACACTAGTCTCCTATATCAGTGGATTCGTGCTAAGAAGTCAAGCGTGTTTATTTGATTTAGTTCTTCCTTCTAATTACTTTTTATCTCTTACCCCCCACTGCCATTCACAAATTTAAAATTAAAGCTGAGCTCGCTCAAAAGGCAAGGAAGGAGATCGCAGATTACCTGTCATCAGGAAAAGATGAGCGGGCTCGGATCCGCGTGGAGCACATCATCAGAGAGGACTACCTGGTGGAGGCCATGGAGATCCTGGAACTGTACTGCGACCTGCTTCTGGCTCGCTTTGGCCTCATTCAATCAATGAAGTGAGTACTAAACTAACTGATGCACAGTGTGCATGAATTTTCCACTCTGGCTTTAGACATAGTCTGTCTGCCGGTCGCAGTGCTCAGCCTTGTCAAGCCAGTTTCTGTTGTTTCTGATCAGGGAACTGGATCCAGGCTTACAGGAAGCGGTGTCCACACTCATCTGGGCAGCGCCTCGTCTTCAGGCAGAAGTGTCTGAACTAAAAATTGTAAGTGCTTCTGAATTCAACAAATTACTGGCCACGATCCCAGGAGTATTTAACAAGTTCTGTCTATTTATTAGATTTGTCTGATCTCTGAATCTTTTTTGCAGGTGTCTGAACAACTATGTGCAAAATATAGCAAGGAGTATGGCAAGCTGTGCAGGACAAACCAGATTGGCACAGTCAACGACAGGGTAGGGGATTTTTTTCCACTGACTGCCAATGGGTTTTTTCAAGATTGTTGTTGTTTTTATGTGTGAGCTACTGGAATTATCCATTTACAAAGTATTTTATCTTAAGAGCGCGTGAACCTTTAGTGTGGAAAGTTTTTATCAGTAGCTTACCACATATCTACTTTGTTTATAGCTGATGCACAAACTGAGCGTAGAGGCCCCTCCCAAGATCTTGGTAGAGCGCTACCTGATTGAGATCGCCAAGAACTACAATGTGCCATATGAACCTGACGCCATGGTCCGGGTGAGCATTTAAGAATCAGTTATCGCTCAGTGTGAAGGATGAAGTTGTACACTCTGTTTACTTACCACTTATCCACTCCTGTCTCCTCACAGCCTGAGGTGGCTCCTGGCGAGGAGGCAGACCTGATTGACGTGGACAATGACAAGAAGTTTGGAGGTGGAGGAGGGGGTGGTGGAGATTTCTTTGTGCCTCCTGCTGGTGCTATGCCTATGGCCATGCCGATGCCCATGCCAATGCCAACAGCATTTAACTATCCACCTCCCAAAGGAGCCGTAAGGAATTCTTTTCAAAGACCCTGTTCTTTATGACTTACACATGTGATTAAAACTTTAAGAGTCTTAAGCATTAAGAGTCTTCAACCAGATTATATACTATCACATTGACCAAATGAGCCACAATGATTGATAACGTAAAAACTGGGCAACAACAGAAATTTTTTTGAGATTAAAACATGTTACAGAATTACAAAATGTGTTAATGAACATGCTTTTAAAACGAATGACAGCCATTACTGAATATTACAATGACTTTTATGGTGGAGAAGCAAGAAGATTTACAAAGATTTACACTTGGCAGCTGCCCCCATCAGACTTGCACCTGACTGTTTTTTTTTTCTTTCCAGGAACCGTTTAATGCACCCATTGGAACCTATGACAACTTTAAGCACCAAATGGGAGGAGGGCAGCCCCCACAGCTGCCCAATTTCCCCCCCACATACGAGTCCGTAAGTGACTGAACTCTTCCCATCCATGCCCCCCTCCTGTTTCCACAGATGGACAGACGAACAGGGCAGGGCAACACTCAGGGAAGAGCAGTTCATTCAGCTTGCTTGCAGTTTTACCTGTCGTCTACACTTTTACACTGTTCCTCAGCATAGGCCAAGTTTTTGCTTCATCTGCATGGATGTCAGTAGCATGAGATGCTCATACCTAACTACTAACTGTGACTTTATTAGTTGCTCTGGGTGGAGTTAAAATGAACAGACGAGGGTGTTAAAGGCATTTTAGAGTGAGCTTAGGTTAGTACAGTCCTAACACCTGTTTTTGTTTGACTCGCGGAAGGTGGTGGTTTCTCATAAAATCCCCTGCAGCGCTCCCTTTTCTTTTCTTACTATTTGTGTTTCTCTGCAACATTAAATGTGATTGTTAATTATTAATACTAACTCGTATAACATTATTTTATTTCAACGTAAAGATGACAGAAGTCCTGACATAGTTGTCTGTTTCAGATTGATGACCTAGCTTCTGTTCCTTTCCAGGCTGTAGGTGAGTTCTGCCTGACAGACAGCTAAATCATTTACTAAACCTACTGGGTTTAGTAGTTTTCAGCAAATTTTACCCAAATAAAAGTATTGACACCTGTATTAATAGTTTCTATATAACTTCTTTATACTATATTTATTTCAGTTTAGTGCTTTGTTGAATTTTTTCCTGTAGCAGGACTCTGTATGTGGTACTTTCATTGAAATGAAGCTCATGTCACCCAGTGCAACTGTGGCTTAGTGAAATGTTAATTCAAATGATCCCCCAGGCCTTTTAAGTAACAACAGCCTGCATCTATAATGTCATCAAATTTTTTTGTGGAGTATTTGTGCTTTTTGATTTTCTATGTTCAGTTCATATTTATGTCACATGCAAATCCTTTATTCTTAATATAAACTCACGATTAGTTTTTCCACCATTTTTCACTCTCCAGGTCCTGGACCTTCATCTAAGCTATTTGACAACAACGCTCTCCCAGAACTCCCGTCTGTTCCAGACACACTCCCCACATCGTCCTTCGGCGGCAACACCACCAACTCGGATGACATCGACTTTGACGATTTAACACGACGGTTTGAGGACCTCAAGAAGAAGACTTAAGTGCCGTATCCCTGGTCAACACACACACAGTTCTGTGTCATCACCTACACAGCTCAGAACAGGAAAATTGAAAAAGGCTCTGTATCAGTTCTGCATAGTTCTCCCCTTACATGGTGATGTTATCTCACACAGATGTTAAACATAGAAGTATTCTTACCTCATTTACATAAACATGACCCGCTCACCAAGGGTGTGGTTGCTCATTCGACCCCGTCACTGATCAGAAATCTGTTCACAGCTCCGGTGAGGAACCATATGCTTTAATATCTTTAAACATACGACACATGATAAGAATTCTTACCACCATGTTGTTGTTGACCCCCTTTTGACCCTTTTTCATTTAAGATCACACTGACTTTTATATTTTCCCCATTTGTGTGTGTGATTTGCTGTGTAATCAAACCTAGATTATAGATAATTGTAGCTTCTCCCTGGGTTTTGGTTCTGACTAATAATTTACAGCACAGGCTTTGATTTTACTTCCTCTGTGATCTCTGCCATTGTGTCACTCACTTCTTGCCCAGACTCGTCAAACAAGCCTGACTTGCCATCCCAGTTTGGAAAGTAGCTGGCATTCACACTCGCAAAGTTTACAAATAAGAAATGACATCATGACAAATGGAAGCCATATTTTCATTGTCTTGCACAGTCATTTTTTTTTTTGACACACTCCTGATCGCCGCACTTCTAAAACTTCATGGTTTATTTATGGCAGAAAAAAACCGGGGTGAACCTTCCAGGAAAATCTGATGGTGACATATCAAACCTTTTCTGTTACGTGGATGATGGGGCACAGATGTAAAGTAGTAACACAGTGTATGGAAATCTGTAATAATACATTTACAATCATAGAGATAGACCTATTAACATTGATGATTTAACTGTACAGTATCTTAAACAATGTTTTTAAGCCCTTTTGAATGTTGCTTTCAATAAACCTCAACCTGCACTTTCTTATTTTGTAAGTAATTAATGTACAGGGAAAATGTGTGCCGACAACAGCAGTCGCACAACAACCTGATCGGATTGATGGGATGCAAATATTGGCCCCTTACTACTGGTTTGTGTTGAATGTGTGTGCAAGTCTTATACTTTACATGTACCACTGCATCTGCCTTAGTTACCATCTCTAATCAGAGGCCTTGTCAGTTTGTACTGGGTTCATAAATTTGGTATCCATCGAGATTGGATAAGTTACCTGCATTGAGTCTCAGTCGTTAGGATTATACTTTATTTTCTTTACCCATCAACAATTCTGTAAAATCTGTTGAGTTGATTTTCTCATATTTGATGGAAAAAGAAAAAACGTCTCTACCGGCCACATAGTTTTGTGTTTCCTGTGGTAAAGCGGGACTGAGGTGGTTTCTTGTGCAGGCGTTGGATTATTGCTGCAACCTGACCACACCAAGCCCTGCTCGCATGGCAGTTGAATGGTGGCCTTGAATTAAAAGATTCACTGATGTCTGGAAAGCACAAGTTTTCCAGCTGGGTGATGGGTGAAAGCTTACGTAAAGGTGTTACACATGTTGGGTATAGTAGAGAGATTATTTACACTACAGAACTGTGATCTGCTCACTGTCTTTTCTACAATGGACTGTTCTTTCATGCTTAAAACCTTGACACATGAAATTGTGTACTGTTGCAAAAAAACAGAATTGTTTTTCCACTGTATAGTAAGATACCAATTTAATAAAAGATTATTTGGAACTGGACACTGGTTAAGTTATTTCACTATTGTTCACAACACTGTAATGCCAAATGATAAACAGCAGGGGTCCTCAGTGTAAAGAAATGTTCTTACTGAGTGATGTACTACAACAAATCTCTATTGATAAAATGGATTATATATCATTGACGTTCAGTTTGTCTTATTTCAGATGTGAGGAATCAGGTCTTTTTGATGGTATATCATGTATTCATAATAACAGATACATTTTCCCTTCATGTCTCTAAATGTATGAAAATCCACTCACTCATTTCTAAGCGGTTAAGGAGGACGCCTTTTACATCAAGACTTATGGAGATCATAACAAATAGCTGGGAGGGTAAATCAAATATGTAGTAGATGACTCAGGGTGTAGTGTACAATGTGTTACTTGAGGCTTTTGAAAATCAGTAATTGCTGTCGTCCATTTTTATTTACAGTTTATGGTTATAACAGGTTTTGGACCTGCTTGAATGATGTTCAAATGAATGATGTTGACATGAAATGAAAAGTGTATCCACATGTGAACCAGAGCTGGGAAAGTAAAGCAACCAGGGATATTCTTTATGTACACATACATCATCATGCAGAGTAAATAAACCTGAAAGAAGCAACACTTTGACATGGAAGAGCAACATTTTCCCTGACTCACCAATTCAGAAACCATACTCGGGCATTGGAGATTCTGTACACATGTAAAAACCAGGATGTGTTATGCAACTTCATGCTCAGAAAGTAAAACTTCCATTAAGTGCAAAAGAGTGTTTAAGAAGCAAGGGTGCCGTGTGTTGAAGTCGTGCCCATCGGAGGAGACATCTCACCCGGCAGAATGCAGCGTCCTCACAGCGTGTGCCTGCCGGAGTACCGCCTGCAGCTGTCTTGTTGCTCTGGGAAATGGAGGAGACGGTTCAGTGAGACTCACAGTGCTTCACCTCTCTCAAACTGAAGGAAGGATGCACAGATACACTTGAAGAGAGACAGAGGAGTCACTTGGGACGAGAAGAACTGAAAGGGTCACTAGTTACAAAGTTGTCAAAGCAAATAGTTTCACTGTTGCTTCATTACGTAAGTGCTCTCTGCAGTCAACCTGAAACAGAATGCAATGGATACACCTGCTTCATGAAATATGAATAAGTCCTCTGGGTTAAATTCATGTGTTAAATGACATTTAGAGGACATTTCTTCCCCCCAATCCTGTCTCAGATGTCTTTAAAGTCTATTCTGTAATTCTGTAGTTAGATATTTTTCTACTTTTTCAGTGTTATATCTGTAATTTTGATTTTTACAAAAAGTGAAATGCTTGGAAATAATATTTTATTTTGAAGCAAATGTAGACTTTTAGCTATTTTTTGCCAGTTGGAGGCAGCAGAAAAAGTTGACGTCCATCACTGATTATTTATACCTTTTTAATGAATCTTTCCTTCTATTATCACATCTTGTTATGGCCTTTATAGTAGCTTTTTAAATGTATTCTATTGTATTCCATTGTCAGCATTTTTCTTGACTCATCAGTCAGTTGTAAACGACTTTGAACGGCCCTGACTTCTCTGAAAGGTGCTAAATGAATAAAGTTTGATTAATTGACCTGAAAAGTTCCTATGGTTGCATTGCGAAGTTGCAGACTTACACAATCCATGAAATCAGTTTCATAAAGCACTGACATGACACAGCACTTACAACCTTTTACCAACAGCTCGGAGTCTGTACAGCCAAACCAGTTCAGTTCAAGTAATATATGAGCTGCAGAATGTTTTCCTTACCTAACAGCACTTTCTCTATTTCCTCCGTCTCCTCCACAGATACAGGTTTCAGCAGCAGTGCAAAGAACACAGCGATGCCGATCACCTGCAGACACAGATAATCCTCTGTAAATGTATAAGAAAGATAAGACAATATACAGAAATCTTATAAATAAACTGCATTATTTAGGAGAATGCAAACTACCTTAAGCCTGGTTATTTAATCCCAAGTTTTTCCATCTTTACCAACCTTGAGCGGCTGCAGAATGAAGATGCTCTGGAAGAGGGAGAGGCCCAGAGACATGACCCACTTGATGGACTTATCTTTGCCGTACTGAAAACCATACAAGAGGGTGAAGTAGGTGGACACTGCGCTGATGGACAGCAACAGGAACCAGCCCAGGAACACACACCACCAGGGCAGCCAGCAGCCCCCAGTCCTCCTCTTCTTCTTTTTCACAGGAGGTGGGCTGGGCCAAGAGAAAAATAGATGATGCAAACAGTAAAGAATAGTTTTTATAAACTATATACTACTATATCATGTTTAACCCCTGTCTGTTTGTTGGTTGGTTTGTTTGTAAGCAAATTGGAACCTTTTCAAGTCTTTTATTATGACAAATAAGGTTTCTTTTCGTCTAACTGCCCTAAAAACGACAGCAATGGACAGATCACTATATTTTTGCAAATAAAATGAATAACTACTGTACTTTAATTTCATCGTTTCTGTTTCTTTAAAATTCAGCACATTTAGCGAGCTGATATCTGAGTGTGTGAAATTTGAGGTTATTTCTGCGTTTGTGCGTTGGCCGGAGTGCTGACTAGTAGGCCAAGTGGCTGCTGAAGACCATCTCCGCCTTGCGAACCAGCACGTTGGTGATGTTGAGTGCCTGCTGGTACTCCTCTGGACTCGGGAAGTTTTTTCCATCCAGCTTTTCCAGGTCCATCAGGAGGTGACAGAGACCAGCGAGGAGGAACTTGCTGCAGTACACCCAGTGAGGGTCACTCTCACTCTCCCCTGTGACAGGATTACACCAGAGGGACCAGCGTGTAATTACATTTCTCTGCACAGCGTGATCTTTCTAGCACTTGAGGTTTCTTTCTGGAAGAATTTGCTGCACAAATCAAGTGTTGCTTTGTATTCTATTTATAAATTGGGAGATAATCTACCTAAAATGTAAAGGTTTCAGTATCACTCAATCAAATTTTATTTGTATAGCCGATATTGACAAATCACAATTTCTCTCCTCGGGCTTTAACAAGGTGTGACATCCTCTGTTCTTAACCCTCAACAAGAGTTACTACCAATAAACCCTTTCAACAGGGGTAACGTAGAAACCTCAGAGAGCCACATGTGAGGGATCCCTCTCCCAGGACGGACAGAAGTGCAATAGATGCCACTTGTAATGGAGAACGTCAGAAAAATAATTAAGTAAGAGTAATTACAGCATTGGTTAGAGTAAACAGTTGCATGATGGAAGGTAAAGGAATGGTATCTGAGTATCTGAGTAGACATATTGTATATCAAGCAGTCTTGTTGTAATCATTCATTCATCAGTAGCATGCTATGAGGGAAAACACTGCTCCTTTATTACAGTGAACACTGAAGTGAATTTAAAGTACATAAAACACTGTTGTTGTTGAATGTATGTGTCCACTTGCTCCATCTTTGCCATTTTGGTTAATTTCCCTCAACAATGCTGCTCTGGTTATTTCTGCTTTTATCTATTCATCATATAGTTTACACAGTTACCAAAACAAAAGGAAATCAATGCATGCAAATCTTCTGCAAAAGTAAATAAATGAAAATAAAAAAACTACCTTGCATGAGTTGGAGGAAATCATGCACCCTGTCCAAGCTGGAGCAGAGGTCAGCGGTGGACTCCAGCCTGGACGTCTCTGAAATCTTGTTCCTCGGACTTTTGCTCACCAGAGAAATAACCTCCTCTGCGTCCTATGAGGGACGGACAACAAAACACCAAATGCTGCATGTGCTGTATATATCATCAGCAGGAGATGCAGCATTAACTGAATGCAAAAACATGTCCCTGGTCTCACAAGGAAAGCAATGAGTGTAATTCATTCGAGTAATGCACAAAATAAGTCAAATGCAAATGCTGAGCACACTCTCGCACCTTCAGAATAGTCGGTATGGTAACTGCAGAGGGTCTCTGGTTCTCCTCACAGTCGTCTTTTTGAGGATTTGAAATGATGCGGGGTCGGATGCTGCGGAAGATGGTGATGATGAGGATGTTGATTGGGAACATGAGGAGACCACTCTGAACGCCCACCATCAGCTCCTGCCAGGTAATTTCCAATGAACCTGAACAAAGACAAGGACACAGTTGTTGATGCAACTGAGAAGAGGCCAGCAACAAAAAGAGGTCTGCAGCAACAGTGATTTGGATATTTGCAGTGCAACCTGTGCCACCTTCACTTTGCAATTTCGACACTCACAAAATGTACAATGCATTTTGTTAAATGCAGAATATTTCATTGGTTTCATAATGCAAAGACAAAAAGCAAAAATAATTAAAGGAAATCAAATCAGCAACGGAGGCTGATATTTTAACCATAACGTATGATATCTTGTTTTCTTTAAGCCATGAACACTTGTCATGTGGTCAGTTTAGTACCAAAAAAATAAATTATTATTTTATAAAATCTTTAAAACTCACAATGATTATTACAGTATTTTCCCTGTAGGTGGTGACACCAATCTGTGTACAGCATAGACTGTAAATACAGAAGGACAGTGTGACATCTCCACAAAAGTGAAACCAAATCGCCTCAATCGCCACCTGGTGGCTGGCTGCAGTATAGATCATAAATCCTGTCTCCTCCATGTTAATTGATGGGCCATGGATGAAGTGGAATACACACTAGTGTAGTCTTAATTTCTCCAGTAGGTTTGGTTTTGATTTTTAAAGAGTGGCCAATAGGAGTGGTGATTGACAGCTGAGACTGACTCATGATTGGTCGACTGCTTGTATCGACAGGACCTCGCTCCCGTGGTTACATCCCCCAATCTCTACTGCACAGACTCTGGCTCCTAATGCGCAACATGGCCATGTTCATATCCAGGATATTTTAGCTTCACTGCTGGATAGTGGGAGGAAGTAGAGATGTCCTCCATCTTTTTTACAGTCTATGATGTCATTAGCAGGTTTTTCTGACAATGACTAAACAGCTCCCTCTTGTGGACAGTCTGTAGTCCGCTAAATGTGAGTGACTGAGTTAGTGAGATGAAAACCCAGCTGACTGAGTCACT